TGCTGTCGCGCAAGCTGAACGAGCAGGCGGCGGCCGTCCTGCCGTCGTTTCGCGCGTTCCTGCCGCCCCGCGAGTGCGATTCGTCGACAGCGCTTCAGCTGGTGCCGCCCGCGGCAGCCGCGGGCCCCGGGGCGATGGGCTGGGGGCTCCTCCTGGGCCCCGTGGAGCTCGAGAGGCCAACCAGGGTCGGCGCCTGGGGCGAGAGCGTCGTGATGGGCGATCTCGACTTCTGGCGCCCGCGCTTGAAGCTGAAACGGAGGTGCCGGGCGCCCGACCAGCAGATCTGGAGCTTCGAGCCGGGCGACCTGGCGATCAGGGCCCAGGAGGCGTCGGAGGCGCTGGTCGTGGCCGCCATGGGCGTCGCCGCCTGCGGGCCGAGGCGCGGCGGCGCCTCGCGCGACCCGCTGGCCAAGCGTCGCGGCCTGCTGGGGTCGAGGCGCGAGGCAGGTGGCGCAGCGACGCCATGATGAAGCGTTTCGGCAAGGAGGCCCGCGCGCTGGCCGAGCCCCGCCAGGTGTCGCAAGCCGCGCTGGACGGCGCGGCGTTGCCACCGGCGCCGTTCCAGTCGGGCCAGCGCTGACAGACTCCGAGGTCAGGCTTCGTCTTCGCCGCATGTTGCGGCGCGCCCTAGTCTCAGCCAGGTGTCGCCACAGCCAAACATTTTTGGAGCTTTTCGCCGGCGAGGCGGGCATGTCCATGGCCGTGAGTGAGGGCCCAGGGCAGCGCCGCGTCTTCGGTCGACATTCTGAAACAAATCTGGTTCGACATGAGCCGCCAGGTCGTGCAGTCGACGATTTTGGAGTGGATTTCGAGCAATGTGGTTTCTGCTGTATGGATGGGGACGCCGTGCTGCGCCTGGTCCCAAGCCCGCCGCGGGCCCCCTGGCTCCAGCTGGTGCCGGCTTCGTAGTGCCGAGCATGTTTGGGGCCTCCCTAACCTGGGCCCCATCGCCTCCGAGGCACGCGCAAGTGGGAGCGACCAGTTGCGTTTCTGTTTGCGGGCGGTTCGAGGCTGCCATCGCGCAAGAACCCCAGTTGCCCTCGAGAACCCTGGGTCCAGCTGGCTGTGGAAGGCCCCATCCGCTCGAGCGCCTGGCGCGTCGTGCGACTTGCCGGGCCTGCGCCGTGGACTTCTGCGGGTCCGGGGCTCGTTGGCGCAAAAGGACCAGGGTGCAGATCTGGGCCCCCAGTTTTTCCACTCAGCTCTCCGCCCTCTGTCATGGTCGAGGGGGCGTCTGCAGTCATTCTTTGAAGCCCCGCATCGTTTCGACCGGGGTGGATCAGAGTTCGGGCGCATTGTGGACTCGCGCTGCTGAGCCCTCTCCCCCTCGTTTCTGTTCCTGCTTTGCCCGAGCTCTGAGACGAAGTGCCGATTCAAATCGTTTATGCCGTCTGTGTCAGATAATTTCAGAATAGCGCGGCAAATGGGTCATCTCTTTCTTTTTTGTGCTCTCTCTCTCTCTCTCTCTCTTTTTCTCTCTTTCTCTCTTTCTCTCTTTCTCTCTTTCTCTCTCTTTCTTTTTTCCCTCTCTGTATCGCTCTCTCTCTCTCTCTCTCTCTCTCTCTCTCTCTCTCTCTCTCTCTCTCTCTCTCTCTCTCTCTCTCTCTCTCTCTCTCTCTCTCTCTCTCTCTCTCTCTCTCTCTCTCTCTCTCTCTCTCTCTCTCTCTCTCTCTCTCTCTCTCTCTCTCTCTCTCTCTCTCTCTCTCTCTCTCTCTCTCTCTCTCTCTCTCCTCTTCCCCCTCTCTCTATATATTTCTATATATCCCTCTCTTTTATTCCGCCGAGCGCAGCCCAGGGGCCTCCCTGTTCGTCGGACCCGCCTGGCCCGATACACACAAACAGTCTCCTGCCCATGGATAGTGTCACGATGAGTATGATGATGATGGCGCTGGCGATGACGATGGCGATGATGATGATGATGGTTATGTCGATGATGACGACGATGATGGCGATTATGATGATAGTGTTGAGGATGGTGGTAACGGTGATGCTGATGATGCTGCTGCTGCTGATGCTGCTGATGATGATGATTCCATCCGGAAATCGTTCGCAAAACGTTGGAATGCTGTATCAGAAAGGGCTTCAATAATGCACAACTGGGCAATTGGACATAGGCCGACGATGGTAGAACGATTGGTCACCACGGTTTTGGCAGCTCGTCTTCACGACGCGAATGGTTGGAGGCTTGGGCTGTCTGTGAGAACATAGTCTTTTCCACCGCTGACTTTTCAACGAGAACAGATCAGCGCTCCACTGGTCGTGGATCTTCTGTGAACGAAAGCATGTTCATTATATTATTGGGCCGGGGGGCATGGCGCCGCGTCGTAAAGGCAGACGCGCACTCGTGCATCGACATTGGCTCGGACCTCAATGCTGTCCGTGCGAACCCTGCAATCCAGATGCGCGTGTGTGTGTCAGAGGAAGCGGCGAAATGCAGGAAGCGGGAGAGATGTGTACAATGGGAAACGGTTGATGCAATGGAGTACAAGCACAAGGCGCACGACATTTTCATCGCTGCAGAGTCGCGGGGGGCCACCCTGGAGACGAGTCAAACGAAGATGTGATGTTGCATGCCGCATCGATCGCTGGAGTTGCGCAGTCTCAACAGAACGCCCGCGGCAGATCGACGAATGATATCCTCCAACGGCTTCGCGATCATCGCTCGCTTCTTCGACGTGCGTCTGGCGAGCGCTCAAACGCAAGCAAACATATCAGCAGGGAATTGCGAATATTGCATCGCGTAGAGCGCAAGGGGCGAGTGGCAGAAATGCCGGCCGGGCGAAGGGCTCGGACGGATGCCTCTGACCGCAGACAGGCGTGGGCGTATGTTCAGCAAATCTAGCCCGGATGCTGCTGGCGAGTATCAGGTGGACAGGCAATCCAGCATGTGCAGGTTGCAGATTTGTATGTTGACTTGTACACATGAGGAAAATCATCTAGCGTGCCCGCAGAAGCGGCGCCCATGGCAGTTGGCGATGAACGCGCACAATTCACGAATAGTGATGTCGCTGATGCGATCCGACACTTGCGTCGCGCACGTTTTAAAGACATTATCAGCATCGGGGCTGATATAAACAAGGAATGTGGCGGCGCCTTGGTGCGAGCTAATAAACCATCTATTTCTATTCTTGGCAATCCGATCTAGGGCCAGCGAAATGCAATAATCCGATGGCATCGGTGATTTTCAAATCAGGGGACCCCAAGCGCACTAGCACTTCCATGTCCACTCTTCAATTGCCCCCATCTTGTGCAAATTGTTCGCTCGAGTAGTATCGCAGAGACCCGAACCTCGGCTGGACACAGAGCAAGCGAAAGATCGAGCTGGATTTTGGCGGAGGCACAGCCCGTCTGATCATGTATGCACGGCTTCTCAACTACAGGCTACAGTTTGGGAGCGGAATCGAAGTTTATGGTGCGCCGCTTTTGGTTTCATCATGGCTCTCGATAGCGCTGGGCATAATGCAATTTGGGATGCTTTGGTAAGAGGGGGGGGGGGGGCAGGGCATTCTCATATATATATATATATATATATATATATATATATATATATTGTTATGTATATGTATGTGTGCCCAATGTACATGCATATCGTTATGTGTATACATATATATATATATACAGATCGGGACAAGATGCTCGAGTTCGGACAGGCCGAGCATGTACATCGTTATGTACATCGTTTGAACTTCGGACGCGCCACCAAGCTGGGTTGCCCTTGAGCTCGTTGCTCTCCAACGCTGTGCTGTAAGACATTTTCCAGGAAATCATTTGAAATTGTTCCCGTCGTGGTTTGGGCGGCCTTTTGGGCCTCGCGGGCATCGCGTTGTTATCGGATTTGCGTTTTGCGGACGACGTGTTGCTCTTTGCGGCGGTTTGCGCCGATCTGAAGCACATGCCTGCCGTTCTCGTTACTCTCGCCTCTACGAGGGGGCTGTCGCTGCATCCATGAATACGAAAGTATTGATCAACCCAACAAAGAGGATAATCATTATTTTGCTCAAGTGTGTGGAAGTGGACTAGACATCGAAGTTTTAGCTTCAAGTTGCAGCGTGAAGTACCCTGGGCGCAGCGCACTTTTGCGGATCCAGCTGACGCTGAACCAGACGATCATATTTCGCTTGCGGAGTGGAAGACGATCATGGTGTACAATGACGAGATGATCAAATATGTCTTGTTCCTGCAATGCCAGTTTGAGCTTTTCGACACTGTGGCTAAGCCGGGAGCATTCGACGGAGCGGATTGCACTAATGGCTGGTGCAAGGCAAGAGAGGTTGCTACGATGCCACATACGAATGATGCACATGATTTTGGAGAAGGGGAGGAGGCCAGCTCGCATTGACGATCGCATGAGCGGTACTGTTGTATCATGGTTGGGCTGGGTCAAACGTCCCACAATATAGACATCATTACATCTGGCAGAATTTAACATTGAGTCGTAGATCGTTGCGCAGACATGTACGAATGATGCATGGGCGCAATGGGCACAGCAGGCGCCCCCGAATATGCCGCCGAGGGGCGCTGTGCACTTGGGGCCGCAGTGCGCGCTGAGGTCTCAAGAAATACTTCGGCGTCATGGGCCAGATGAGATTCAAAAGCTCTTCGCGCCCACTGGTGTCCACGGAGCATCGTGCATTTCCGCGGGAGATGGGAACGCATTGGTATTTGATGCAGCGCAGAGGAACGGGGGGTGAGGGTTGCGGCATTCCCGCCTTGCCCCGTGCGGGTTGCTTTCCTTGGCCGGACACTGCGCACCTCGCTTCGCTTCGCATATATGATGAGGGCGGTGGTGGTTGGCGATGATGATGATGATGATGATGCTGATGATGGTGATGATGATGATGATGATGATGATGATGATGATGATGAGGATGGTCTTTTCTATGGATATGTAATGCATGTCGAGGGGGGGAGAGACCGAAAGCTTACTTTCCGTAGCTTTCGGCTCTCGAGCTGAGCGCCGCGGCGGACCGCGGCGCATGCCCTTGCTGGGCCTCCCGGAGGGCTTGCTGGGAATTCTAGACCGCTGGGGGGTGCCCGCGCTGCGGGCTTGGGTGTCGCGCTGCCCGGCGATCGACGTTCCGCCTTTCCCCGCGTGCCCGGGCTGTCCGCCGTGCCCAGGGGCGACCGCGGGCGCCGCCGCGAGCTCGGTGGCCTTCGCCTGCCTGGCCGCATGCCTTGCCGGGGCTGCGTTCGGCGCCCTGGGCGCGATCGCGGCGCTGCGACTCTCCGCTTCACCGCCGAGTCGCAGGGCGAGGTCGCGGCGCCGGCTGGAGGGGCTCCCTCGCGCCTGGCGCTGGCGGCGGTCACGGATGGCGGAAACGCGGGCCTGGGTGCTGCACGACGTGGCAGGCGCGCGGCTCTTCCACCAGAGAAGGCTGGCGGGGCAATTGGCGCTTGCGGATGACGTCGTCGCCGTCGCGCCCGACGACGTGGTCTACGCGGAGATTGCTGACTGCGGGGCCGGACATCGCCGCGGTGCGTTGCTCGGCGGAGAGGCCGCCCCCTCTGGGGATCGCTTACAGGTCCGGGAGGGCGCCCTCGGCGGCTCGCGAGGCTGCCTGGCTCGCCGCGGCGCTCGCCGAGGCGGGCGCCGAGTTCGCGCGGCGGCGCCCTGGGGCTCCACTATGCGGGAGGGGCGTTCCTCCCGAAGAGCGGTGGGCTGCTGTCTCGGGCGGCCGCGCCCGCGGCGGCGGTGCCGGCCGCCGTGCCGGCCGCTTGGGGGCCTGCAGCGGGGGCCTTGGTGGCTGGGGCGCCGCCGCCTGCCGTCGGCGCGGCCGCCGTCGCGCCGCTGGGCGCCCCCCAGCCGAGGCCCCGCCGCCCGTGCCTGCTGCTGGGGGACCCATCGCGGCGGGGGCCCCTCTCGCCGTGGGTGCGCCGCCTGGGCCTGGCTGTGAGGGCGACGACGGGCCGCCTCTCAGCCCCGACGGCGAGGCCCCCGCGGGCTGGGCGTGGGTGGTGGCCGAGGACGTCGAGTCGTTCCGCTTCGGCACGGCGGTGCAGGTCGGTCCGATCGCGGGCGTCGTGCTGGCGGCCGGGCGCTGGCGTGTCGGCGGTGGCCTTCATCCTCGAGGATTGGAGGCGGGCTGACTTCACCTCGAAGTGGCGCGGGGCCGACCCGCGGACGACGGCTCGCCTCCCTGGCGGCGCAGGCCCGCGCAGCTGGCTCTCCGTCGTCGAGTCCGCGAGGGAGGTGGTGGATCCATATGCCGCCGCCTCGCTCGGCCGCCTGGCGCGTGTCCTGGCTGCTGCGCCAGGGGGGGGCTTATTCAGCATTGCGAGAGTTGGGGGGGCGCGGAAGCGGCTCAGCACTTCGGACTACGGCGTCACGGAGCACCGCGCGCTGAGCATGGTGCTGGAGGACCTCGCGACGGTCGACGATGTGAGCGCGGCGAATCTCGTGGGCGTCGAGAGGCCCCCGCGGGAGATTCAGCTCATCGAGCATTTCTGGGGGGAGAAGCAGCGCGAGCAGGACGCATCGCTGCAGAAGTTGCCGCAGGAGGAGATCAGCGCCTTCATGGGCGGGGCAGGTCCTGCCAGCCGCCCGAGCAGCATGGTCTGCCCTGCGCTCCCCGATGTGGTTGGCAAGGAGCTCGAGCGCGTAAGTCAGCTCAAGAAGAATGCTCGGAAGCTTCAAAAAGAAGCGAAGGCCGCCTGCGGGGCCAAAGCCGGAGGCGCGAAGTCATGATGACGCGTTGCCTGGAGGGGTGTGCTGGCCCAGCCTCTCCAGGTGCCGCGGGAACTGGGCCCGCCTCGGCGGGCGCCCGCGCTGCTGAGGATGTCCGTGGCAGGCGCGGTGGCGCGGGCGCGGAGCGGAAGCGGGGCATCTTTCCGCTGCCGGCGCATGCTGCCGCTGACCCCGGCGGACTGGCTGAGGGGCGGGGCTCGCGCTGCATGCGGGGGCGGGCGCGCCGCGCCGCTTCCGCGCCGCGGCTCGCCAGGCAGGCGGTGGAGCCGCTCGGCGCCCTCGGCGGCGCGGGGGGGGAGGGCTGCTCGCTGCCGCTTGGCGACCCGACGCTGGCGCGGCAGCGCTGCCTGACGCGCTTCGCGGACGCCGTCTCTCAGCTGGGCCCCCCGTTGGGCGACCTCCAGTCTTTGGCAGCCCTGCAGGGGCTCCAGGCTGCTCTGTCCTACGACGGCATGCTGTCGACCAGGGCGGAGGCGATGGGCGTCTCCCGACTCTCGCTGCCGCCCCCGGGTAACTGTCCCGTCTCGCTGGAGCGGCTTCTGGAGTCCGACGTCTTTGATTCCGTCTATCGTGATATCTCGGATAAGGTCTTCCTAAAGACCGAAGTTTTGCAGTTAAAGAGGGATGCTGGCTTCAGGGAGCCCTGCTTCGGTTGCTGGGGGCCGACGTGATCGACCTCGTCAGCGACCCCAGCGAGGTGAAGGATGAGGTGGGTCTCTTCAGCGTGCCCAATAAGAGTGGGCGGCAGCGGCTCGTCGTGGACGCGCGGCCGGCCCGCCAACTTCTGGTTCGGCGACCCCGCGGACGTGCGCCTGGCCGCGGGTTCGGCGCTGGCGGCGATCGAGCTACCCGATGGCGCGAGCCTGTGGACGGCCTCGGCAGACAGCGCGGACGCCTTCTACAACATGGGGCTTCCGCACGCTTGGCGGCCATACTTCGCGCTCCCGCCGATGGACGCGTGGAGGCTGGGGCGGGGGGCCGACCGCGGGCAGCAGCAGCCTTGGCCGCTGTGGCCGCGTCTTGCGGTGTTGCCCATGGGATGGACCCGCGCGCTGGCTGTCTGTCAGCGGGTGTCGGAGTCGGCGCCTGATCGGGCGGGGTTGGCGGTTGCGACGAGGGTGGACGACCGCCAGGTCTGCCCAGGCTTGGCTGGCGGTGCCCACCTCGAGTGCGTCGACAACTTTGCCTCGCTCTCGCTGGATCGCGACACCACCGAGCGGATGAAAAACGACATGGTCACGACGCTGCGCGAGAGCGGCCCCCCCGTTCACGAGGGGGGGAGCGCGGCCTTGCACGCGCAGCTGCTGGGCTGGGTCATCGGCGGCGATCGCGGGTCAGTGTCTCCGACCCCGCGTGCGCTTTCGTCTTTATGGTCAGGAGGCCGCTGCTATCCATCTTCTCTGGTGTGCGCCGCTTCATCTCCAAGGCGGGCGAGGCGCCGCGGCCGTGGTGGCCCAGCGTGTGGCGGGAGCTGGCTTGTGCCATGGGCGTCGTGCCGCTGGCCTCGGCGGACCTGCGCGCCGACTGGCTGGGGCGAGTCACGCGCGCGGATGCCTCCGAGTAGGGCCGAGGGGAGTGCGAGCGAGAGTTCGATACAGGCATCGCCCGGAAGCTTGGTCGAGTCCAGGAGCGCCGGCGCTTCCGCGACCCTAGCGCGAAGGCCCCTCGGGAGCAGCTCATGATGCCCCCGGAGTCCAACGAGAGCCTCGTCGACACCGAGTCGCAGTCGAGGCCGAACGACCTCGGTAGCTCGCAGGCTCCCGCGGAGCCCTTCGACATCGTGAAGTGCGATCGCTCGATCGACACGAATCGCAAACCTCGTCATCGTGATGTCCTCAAAATTCCAGCGACGGACCACTTGAATCCAACGGGCTTCGAGCCTCTGGAGGTGGAGTACGTCTCGGGTGATTTGGTTGTCATCTCTAGTGGGTCCTGGGGGCGAGAGGAGCATATCACTGCATTCGAAGGGGGGGCCCTGATGCACGCCCTGAAACATGTACTTCGAGATGCGAAACAGCATGGCCATCGTGTTCTGCTTCATTCGGAAAGCCTCGTCGCCGTCCTGGCTCGCTCCTCGCGGCCGAGGATGGCCCGCGTCTGCCGCCGGCGGGCTGGCCTCGCCTCTGCGGGCGGCATCGTCGCGGCGCTGTGCTGGATACCGTCGGAGGCAAACCCAGCGGACCTGCCGTCGCGCCAGCCCCTGTGCATAGGGGCGTGGTTTCAGTGGGACGCAGTCGTCAGTCTGGCCGCCGCCCAGGAGCCCCGCTCTCCCGCTGGCGAGGGCGCGGAGCGCCACCCCGCCGCCTCGGCCGCCGGCGGCGGCCCCCACCTCGGCGAGGCCAACGCGGAGTTGCCGCGGCGTGGGCCCTCGCCCGAGGCTGAAGGCAGCCGAGGCAGCGGCCGGGCGCGCGGGCAGAGCGGCGGCGAGGGCGCCAGAGGTCGCCCCCCTACGCGCCTCTGCGGGCCACGTGCTGAGAGCCGTCTCGGGGACGGTCGCCACGACGATGAAGTACCTGCGCCTGTGGGTGGATCTCACGTTGGCTGGCGACCGCGTCGGTGGCGCTGAGAACCGAGACGGCCGACGACCTGCTGGCGCAGCGGAGGGGCCGGCAGCGCGCCCAAGGCCGGGGCCCCGAGCGGGGCGCGCACATGCTGGCGGCGCTGAAGGTCATTGTGCCGCAGTTCGCTCGCGGAGGGCTGGGGCTGCCGCAGGCGCTGCTGGTCGTCGCCCTCATCGCCGCGCGGCTGATCGACGTGGGCCAAGCGGGCGCGGCGACCCACGTGCCCTTCGCGGGCTACCTGCGCCAGTCCGAGCTGTGCCAGCTTGGGCACTCGGGCCCGTCCGTCGTGCTAGCCCTCAAGCTGCGGGCCCTGGCCAGCGGGGGGCTGCAAGGGCGCTGGAGGCCCGTCGCCTCGGTCGCCAGGTACCTCGCGCCAGGCCGCGTGAACGAGCAGATGCAGAGAGCGCATCCTGCAGTACAGCGCGCGGCCCTGCGGGCCCCCGCTCGGCTGGCCTCGCCCCTCAGCTGGCGCTGAGGAAGCTGCTGGGCCCTCGCCGCCGGCGTTTCCTGGCGCCTCCTGTCTTCGTGGAAGTGTTCTCGGGCGAGGGCATCTTGGCCGTCGCCCTGCGGCGCGAGGGCGCTCTGGTGATCGAGTGGGACATCGCCTGGGGACCGACTGGGACCTCGCCGTTCCCATGGTGGCGAGGCTGCTGCGAGGGTGGCTGGATGCTGGCCTGATCTGGGGCGTGCGCTTTGGTGTCCCGTGCCAGACCTGCACGTGGATCACGGGCGCGGGGTTGCTGAGATCTCCAGGTGAAGCGGTGTCTTGGCCAAGTCGCCTGAGGTCCGACACTGAGATCTGGGGCCTGGCCGCAGTGAGGCATCCTGTAGACAGGGTAAACATCTGCGCGGGGCTCTGGGCTGGTTGTAGGCGCGTGCAGACCCCGTTGACTATTGAGAATCCAGCTATGTCCTGTCTCTGGCTCGTTCCTTCGCTCCAGCGTCTTCGGAAGCAGCCGCGTGCATTTTGGGCCGTCGCGCGCTATTGTCAGAACGGAACCCCTTGGAAGAAGCCGACGGGGCTTTTGGGGTTCCGCGTCGATGTCGCAGCGTTCGCTCGCCAGTGCTCGGGCTCGCGAACTTGTCGTAGCAGAACAGGCAAGCCACATCATAGTTTAAAAAGACGTGCTCCGGGGAGGCCCTTGTGGACTTTGGCGGCGCAACCTTATCCCGAGCCGCTCGCGCCCCGCTGGGCCCACAGTTTTCTCGACGCTCGCTTGCAGTCTCAAGCTCTGTCAGCTGCGCCTGTCTGGCTAGGCTGCCAATCCAGGGTGAGTGGCCGTCCGGAGTGCTCGGGGTGGTTTGGCCGAGGGGCCCCTCGGCAGCTCGGAATTCAGATAGCGTTCTTCCCGCTGCCGCAGCCCCCAGTCGCACGCGGTGCTGCTTTTTCGCTTCGAATGCATTCCGAGACTGGCCTCGGAGAAATCATCGTTCGGGCATGGTCTTTCCCATTAAAGTTGCATGCCTTTCGAGGGAGAGGGAGAGGCCGAAAGCTTGCTTTCCGTAGCCTTCGGCTCTCGAGCTCCCATCCTCCCATCCCTAACTTCAGCTGCATTGCTTCGCCGTGGCCGAGGGCCCCCTCGGCAGCTCGGAATTCAGATAATGTTATTCTCGCTGCCGTGGCCCCCAGTCGCACACGGTGCTGTCTTTCGCTTCGAATGCATTCCGAGACGGGCCTCGGAGAAACCATCGTTCGGGCATTGTGATTATGGTGGCGATGACGATGGCCATGGCAGGGACGGGAGTGAGGATAATGATGTTGATGATGGTACTGGTGATGATGGCAATGACGAGTATAATGATGGTGATGGCGATGGCGATGGTGATGGTGGTGATGGTGATGGTTGTATGATCGAGACCGCGTCCCACGCTGGGGCGAGAGCGACTTGCAACGATTTGAAAATGATGCCCACACTGCAGCGGGAACAGCTGAAGCACTGTAAGCAATAGACTTGCAATCGACGTCCGACATTCATGGGTTTGAAATCTTGTGCGTGACATCGGGAGGGGCAGGATCACGCCCCGGACACTTTCAGGGGAGAGTGGGGAATTGCGTTTGTATCAAGCTAGGTGCGGCTGCGCCACATGTGCCATCCTGCAGTGAAATCCATAGTACAGACGGGTAAGCTGCCCAATGGCACCCTTCGCGTCCTTAGATTAGTTCGGCAGTGTTCCGGTAGAAAAGCTTCAGCTGTGGCGCCTGAGAACCGTCCAGCGGTCTGGCGGCCTCACAACGCGGTTTTCTACATATGATTTCCCCCCCATGCTTTCTCAGTGCGCTGACTTGTTTCTACCCGCGGTCGCGTGTCATAGCCGACCAAACATCCCGTCCCCCTACCAAAACACCCGAATATCAGCAATGATGACTTGTGGGACCTGTGGGGGCAGTGGAAAACGTGGGATTTATGAGATCTGTGGGACTAGTGGCACTTGTGGGACGTATGTGGCCTGTGGGACTTGTGAGACCTGTGGGGCAGGTGGGGATTCTGGACCTGTGGGACTTGTGGGATTTGTTGTGGGATCTTGGCGGCCTCTGTAGCCTGTGGGGCATGTGAGACAGGCGACACTTGTGGGAAATGTGGGCACTATGGGTCCTGCGAGATCAGCGTGACATTCGGGACCGGGGGGACGGGTGGACTTGTAGGACCTGGGCGGCATCCGTGGGGCCTGTGAGACTTGCGACGCCTGTGGAACCTGTGGGACCTTCGGGACCTGCGAAACTTGCGAGACCTGTGGGGCCTGTGGAACCCGTGGGACCTGTGGAACCTGTCAGACCTGTGGTACCTGTGGTACCTGCAAGACCCGTGGGACCTGCGGGATGACCTGCGACACTTGTGGGTTTTGTGGGAACTGTGGGACCCTTAGGGGCTGCGGGACTTGCTAGGCCTGTGGGGCTTGCGAGGCCTGTGGGATCCAGAAAGCAGGTTCCCTCTGGGGGCGAGAGCGCCATTCAGAGCGGTGGGGGCCGAAGCGCCGCTCCGAAAATGACGGCCACGCTGCAGCGGGAGCACCATTTTGAATTACCCTACCTATGACGTACCCAACCCTCTTTGTATACGCGTGGCGTTTCTATTCAAGACCAGTCAATGCTGACTGGCATTCTGAAGGATCCGTAGTGCGCAAGAAGAGCACTCATGAGTGAAATCAGAAGGGATCATCAAGCAGAGGAACAGCAACCTTACAACATTGAAGCACAAGGGCGTTGACAGAAGCACAAAAGCGGGGGGCGGCGAGGGCTGAACCAGAACATCGGT